AGGTGTAATCCATACTGAAGGCTGAAGTCTTTGATCTTCATCAGTAAGTGCTGCAAGTCCCCTTCACTTTCAGCAAGCAAGGTTGTGTCATCTACATAATGCAGGTTGTTAATGAGTCTTCCTCCAATCCTGATGCCCCGTTCTTCTTCATATAGTCCAGCTTCTCGGATTATTTGCTCAGCATACAAATTGAATAGGTATGGTGAAATGATACAACTCTGATGCACACCTTTCCTGACTTTAAACTATGCAGTATCCCCTTATTCTGTTCAAATAACTGCCTCTTGATATATGTACAGGTTCTTCATGAGCACAGTTAAGTGTTTTGGAATTCCCATTCTTTGCAATGTTATCCGTAATTTATTATGATCCACAGAGTTGAATGCCTTTGCATAGTCAATAAAACATAAGTAAACATCTTTCTGGTATTCTGTGCTTACAGCAGCTGTGAAATCCTTGGTTCCACGTCCTCTTCTGAATCCAGCTTGAATTTCTGGCAGTTTCCTGTCTATATGCTGCTGCAGTCAATTTTGAATGATCTTCAGCAAAATTTTACTTGCATGTGATATTAATGATATTGTTCAATAATTTCTGCTTTTTATTGGATCACCTTTCTTGGGAATAGGCATAAATATGGATCTCTTCGAGCCAGTTGGTCCGGCAGCTGTCTTCCAAATTTCTTGGCATAGACGAGTGAGCACTTCCAGTGCTGCATCCATTTGTTGAAACATCTCAGTTGGTATTCTGTCTATTCCTGAAGCGTTGTTTTTCGCCAGTGCCTTCAGTGCAGCTTGGACTTCTTCCTTCAGTACCATGGTTTCCTGATCATATGCTACCTCCTGAAATGGTTGAACATTGACCAGCTGTTTTTGGTATAGTGATTCTGTGTATTCCTTCCGTCTTCTTTTGGTGCTTCCTGCATCATTTAATATTTTTCCCATAGAATTCTTCAGTATTGCAACTCGAGACTTGAATTTTTTCTTCACTTCTTTCAGATTAAGAAATGCCGAGCATGTTCTTCCCTTTTAGTTTTCTAACTCCAAGTCTTTGCCCATGTCATTACAACACTTTACTTTGTCTTCTTGAGCCGCCCTTTGAAATCTTCTTCCCAGCTCTGTTTCTTCATCATTTCTTCCTTTAGCTTTAGCTACTGGATGTTCAAGAGCAAGTTTCAGAGTCTCTTCTGACATCCATTTTGGTATTTTCTTTCTTTCATATCTTTTTAATGACCTCTTGCTTTCTTCATGTATGATGTCCTTGATGTCATTCCACAACTCCTCTAGTCTTCGGTCATTAGTGGTCAACACATCAAATTTATTCTTAAGATGGTCTCTAAATTCCGGTGGGATATACTCAAGGTTGTACTTTGGCTCTCATGGAATTGTTTTAATTTTCTTCAGTTTCAGTGTGAACTTGCGTATGAGCAATTGATGGTCCGTTCTGCATTCGGCCGCTGGCCTTGTTTAGACTGATGATATTTAGCTTTTCCATCGTCTCTTTCCACAGATGTAGTCGATTTGATTCCTGTGTATTCCATCTTGTGAGGTCCACATGTATAGTCGCCATTTATGTTAGTGAAAAAAGATATTTGCAATGAGGAAGTCATTGGTCTTGCAAAATTCTATCATGCTATCTCTGCCATTGTTTCTATCACCAAGGCCGTATTTTTCAGCTACTGATCCTTGTTTGTGTCTAACTTTCTCTTTCCAATCACCAGTAATTATTAAGGCATCCTGATTGCATGTTTGATCAATTTCAGACCGCAGAAGTTGGTAAAAATCTTCAGTTTCTTCATCTTTGGACTTGGTGGTTGTTGTATAAATTTGAATAATAGTCGTATTAACTGGTCTTCCTGTAGGTGTATGGATATTATCCTATCACTGACAGCATTGTACTTAAGGATAGATCTTAAAATGTTCTTTTTGATGATGAATGCAATGCCATTCCTCTTCAAGTTGTCATTCCTGACATAGTAGACCATATAATTATCCGATTCATAATGGCCAATACTGGTCCATTTCAGCTCATTAATGCCTAGAATATTGATGTTTATGTGTTCCATTTCATTTTTGATGATTTCCAATTTTCCTAGATTGATACTTCGTACATTCCACTTCCTGATTATTAATAGACGTTTGCAGCTGTTTCTTCTCATTTTGAATCAAGCCACATCAGCAAATGAAGGTCCTGAAAGCTTGACTCCATCCACGTCATTAAGGTCAACTCTACTTTGAGGAGACAGCTCTTCCCCAGTCGTATTTTGAATGCCTTCTAACCTGAGGGGCTCATGTTGCACAACTATATCAGACAATGTTCTGCTGCTATTCATAAAGTTTTCACTGGCTAATTCTTTTCAGAAGTAGACCACTGGGTCCTTCTTCCTAGTTTGTCTTAGTCTGGAAGCACAGTTGAAACCTGTCCACCACAAGTAACCCTGCTGGTATTTGAATACCAGCGGCATACCTTCCAGCATCACAGCAGCTCGCAAGCATCCACAGTACGACAAACTGACAGATGCGTGGGGGTGGATATAAGTAGAGATAATTATTTATGGGGAAACCAAATGGTGTCACCCTCATGTCAAGCAAACCATTCCTCTAAGCATCACCAGTCATACCTACCAAATGCTTCTTTACCAGGTTTCCTTCTTTGCCTCCAAAAGGTAGCAGTGCCCAAGACCCCACCATGATTGGGGTCATTAGAGAGTCTAAACCCCTGAATCTATCACCCCATTCCTTTGCATTTCTCTTTAGAAGACTTCCCTGAACTGTAAGATAACCACTCAGAAGCCCCTAGAATGCTCAATGTTGGTGACCCATTAGTCAGGCCAATGAGTTAATATAATGGTCAGTTTCTTAGTGCCACACATAACATATGGGTGTGGCCTCTGCCTCCACTCCCATCCCTTTATACAGGTGTGATGGGGGGGGATGAAAAACTGAAGGAGACATGCAAGAGACACAAAGAGAACAGGACTAAGAAATATAGGAGGAAATGGGAATGATAGATTACCCTACATATTTCAGGACTGTGTAGACGCTTCCTCCCAAAAAGAGTAAAATATCTATTGCTATTCATCTTTTTACTTATATGAATTCAGACATTAGAGGGCTTATGTGACTTGCCCAGTCACACAACTCAAATGTGTTGAAACCCACAAATAAACTAAAATTTTCTGGCTCCAAAGGCTATACTTATTCCATTCTACTATTGTAACATGAATGTATGATGAAGAGGAAATAATGAGGGAAATAAAACAGACTAGATTTGAGGATGCCCTGTATATACAAGAAAAAAAGTCTTGTTTGTTTTGTTTTTTGTTTGTTTTATTTTTATTTTTTTATCACTAGAGTACTTAAGCAGATGAAAGTGAAATTCAGGACTGTCCTGATTGAAGGATTATGTTATCCCACTCATTCTGTATCACTCAATCCTTATTCCTCCTGTGTAAATTAGAATGACCATTAAGCCTCATACTAAACCTTTATCTTTGGTAAATCTCTTGCACTGCCCAGTAAACCATAGGGCCCAATTCTTTTCCTGTCAGTAGGTTTTGCTTTCATTCTCTTGGGAAATTGAATGAGGAAATAGTGGTATCAGGCACTGAGCAGAGTTGCCTGGACCAGGGCAGCAGTCTATCCACCATCTTTAGACTTCAGGTTCCTGTTAAAACCAGTTGCATTGCCGTTGAAAATATGAGAGGAAATTTTTTTTCCACAAAGAGGGGAATCATGTGCAGAATGCACTGCTGTAGAAGCTATGGGATTCAGTAAGCTCATCTGATGATATGACAAGACATTAACAAAGACCTTATATGGCTCTCATTTCATGCTTTAGTAAAGAAGCTGTGCTTGGAGAGGTATAAAAGGACCCCTGCCCCTTTCAGATGAGTTGAGTGAACAGTGGAATTTCCCACACTCAACTATACTTCAGGTAAGGGAGAATGGAGGAATAAAACAAGCCCAGATATGAAAAATGATGAGAACAAGAATAGAGCTGACTCCCAAGGAAATGGAAGTTTCTTAATGGCTGGAGCAAGAGTCTGTTTCCAAGACTTGAGAGAAAGGAGAAGGATAAGAGCATGAATATCACTAAGGATTGTTTTACTGTGACTTTACCACTTCTCAGTTTCTTCTTTCCATCACTTTTATCCTTTCTCCTTTCTTTCCTTCAGTTTTCTCTAATTTTTCATGGTAACAGTTTCCATATTCTCTTTTGTCTCCTCAGTATGCCTTAACCAACCAGTTGCCATTGAGTTGATTCCGACTCATGGAAATCTCATGTATGTCAGAGTAAAACTGTGCTCTATAGGTTTTCAATTTTTTGGAAGTAGATTGTCAGGCCTTTCTTGTGAGGCATCTCTAGGAGGACTCACACTGCCAACCTTTCAGTTAGCAGTTGAACATGTTAACCATTTGTCCCACCCAGGGACACCATGCATGCCTAGTTTCCTCCAAATACTGAGTAGCTTCTTCTCAGACCTCAAAAGGAACCCAAATAAAGAAGGGAAATACTTTGTTGTAACTGTATACACTACACAACCCGTGTCAAAATGATCTACTGTGGGCCTCCAACACACATTTTCCCACTTGTATGCCCTCAGTTAGATATCCTATTAATCTCCCATTCTCTCCAAACTATATTTTTGTTCAAATGATCCAGAAAAGCATAACTTTTTATTCAACTTGTCCATGTACAAAGATGCTAAAAGTTAAGAGTTCTAATGTCCTTGGGAATGGTTGTATATTTCCTTCTTAAATTGATTCCATATCCATGTCTCATGTTTAACAACTTTTTAAAAGAGTTTTGTCACTTTCTCTGGTTGTTCCCCAACTAGCAGATTTTCCTTTGCAACATTTCATGTTCAAAGCCTGATATGTATTTATAATGGTGTATATGGTGTCTTCTAAATACAGATAGGAGTAGATAGATAGACAGACAGATAGATAATCAATAGTAAGTTGAATAACCATTTTCTTTCTTTCTTTTTTTACCTGAAGGAACTGAAGAGGAAGATGAAGGGGATGACTGTTTGTTGGGGTCTGTCGATGAGTTCTGGTGGTTTCCTCATATGTGGAGCCATATGCAGCCCCACCTCTTCCATAATGAGTCGTCATTGGTGGAGCAGATGATTCTCAACAAAAAATTTGCCTTAGTAAGTAACTCACTTTGACTATTGCATTTAATTAGGATAATGACCAAGTTTCTATGTTGAGAACATCTTGAAGGTGTCAAGTATATTGGCAATTTTTAAGCAGGCTTTTCTGTGGAATCATAAAGAAGATCTTAGTATTACAGCCTCTTAGTATAAAGCTTTGGGTTTATATTGTATGCTTCTCACTCTGCTTGATGCTCTGAGGGGTCCAATTTAAAAGGGACTTCACAAGTCACTCACAAGACTCAGTCATGTGACATTATGTTTAGAGCTCCTAAGACATGGCTCCTGTCTTGAAGGGGCTTTCTGCTGCACTAGGGAGACAGAACTATGTGCATAAAACAATTATCCTGCAAAATGACATGTTCTGTGGCCCAATGCTAAAATGAACAGTATGGGCGTAAAACCCACAGTTCAGAGAGAGAAGTGTCATTGGCAGTGGCCAGAGAAATGTTCCTGTGGAAATAGGATTTTAGGTACACACAGAAATAAGAATACGATTTAGGTGTCAGGATGAATTGGAGTGAAATGAGGCTGAAAGAAAAGACCAGTTAAGAGACCATAACATACCTTCAGCATGAAGTACTGAAGACTCAGCCTAGGAAGGTCATGGAAATGGGAAGCAAGCCGCTTAAAAGATGTTGCAAACATATATGTTATAGGGATGGAACACACATTTTCCCGAAGCGAGTTACACTGTTTGATACTGAAGAGTTAGTTTATGAGTCAGGACAGAGAAATTTGCAATAAAGGTTCTAATAAATACAGTGTGATGGAAAATATGCTTGTAATCAGTGAGGAAGAGATGTAGTAATTAACAAGCCAACAGAGCATGTGTTAGGTGGGAGGAGGTGTTTCATCTTTGTTTCCTGTGAGTCATACTAATGGTCACAAAAACACATAGAGGGAATCCAGAAAGGCAATTGCTTATTAGCATTCTTCCTTTCTATGCAGGGAGTACTTCAGGGGCAGGAACTATATTCTGTCCATCACAGTATCACAGTTCCTAGCTCATGGAAGAGGGACAGTGATGGTTCAGTAGTGGAATTCTCACCTTCCATCCAAGAGCCTCGGGTTCAATTCCTGACCAGTGTACCTCATGTACAGCCACCATCTGTCTGTCAGTGGAGGCTTTCATGTTGCTATGATGTTGAACAGGTTTCAGTGGAGCTTCCAGACTAAGACCAGGAAGAAAGGCCTGGCCATCTACTATGAAAATCAGCCAGCGAAAACCATATAGATTACAATGTTCTTATCCACAGCTGACCGTGGGGATGGCACAGGACTGGGCGGAGTTTCTTTCTGTTGTGCGTGGGGTCACCATGAGTCAGTGACAATTTGATGACAGCTAACAACAACAGAAATAGCTCATAGAAAGCACTCAATGAGTATTTATAGCATAAATGATCAAAGGCAGCAGAAAACAATACTCAAGAAGGAAATGCAGTGTCATATATCTTAATTTGTTCCTGCATTTTTTTCTTATTTGTAAATCTCAAAACGGATTTTATTTATTTTTTATTTTTTTAATTGTACTTTGGATGAAGGTTTATAGAACGAATAGTTTCTCATTAAACAGTTAATACACATATTGTTTTATAACAATGGTTAACAACCCCATGACATGTCAACACTGTCCCTTCTCAACCTATTACCAGCTTTCCTGTCCCCTCCTGCCTTCTAGTCCTTGTCGCTGGACTGTTGTGCCCCATTAGTCTCATTTTGTGTTATGAGGCTGTCTAATCTTTGTCTGAACAGTGAAGCTTGGGAGTGACTTCACTACTGAGCTAAAAGGGTGTCCAGGGGCCATACTCTTGGAGTTTCTCCAGTCTCTGGCAGGCCAGTAAGTCTGGTCTTTTTTTGTGAGTTAGAATTTTGTTCTACATTTTT